TGCTTTGCTGGATAAGTCACCTCTATCTTCGGCTGTTTTCAAACACAGAAGCTTGTGCTTTATTCCTGTAGTGGAAATGTCATCCTGTGCTCATGTGTCAGGGTGTGGGGCAGCACTACCTGCAGCAGATGGAGCTTGTGCGGTTGACTCCTCCTCCTCCTCTGCCTCCGCTGCCGCCCCCCGATGAAGCGGAGCAGCCGCCGAAGCCGCCGTTTGCAGACGAGGAGGAGGAAGAGGAGATGCTGCTGAGAGAAGAGCTGCTCAAGTCCTTGGCCAGCAAACGAGCTGTTAAAACGGAGGTAAGGCCAGAGGTAATCAGAGTAAGTGTTTCTGCTGAACCGTGAGCGTGGCGTCAGGTGTGACGAGCTGCTCTGTCTCTGTAGGACGCGTCCAGCAGCAGCGGGCCGCCCTCTCCCGCTCTCAGACCCGCGGCTCTGCCGAACACCAGGAACAACCTCACGGCCGTCAGTCTCAACACTGTCATCTCTCACGCTCGGGCACTCAAGTTCATACGGGCACAGCCTGCCCCCAAAGCCCCGTTTGTGGTGAGGGACGCAGGTTCACAATCTGGAGTCATTACGCACATGCAACACTAAGGCTTTTATGTGTGCGTTTTCCTTGTGTTTGTTACAGCTGCCACGACACAAGAGTGTGGTGGTGCGTCTGAACGCGTCTGACGACAGCGACTCTGACGACGAGAGCTGCGGCCCCGTTCAGAGTGTGTTTGGAGGACTGGAGTCCATGATTAAAGAAGCTCGGAGGACAGTAGAGGTGCGTGTGTGTCTGTGTGTGAACACTGTACGACCTTCAAAATCAGAACTGAATTTAAAACACTAGGCATCTTATACAGTCCTTGCTGGCTTTGTAAACAGTCACAGAGGAAACACTGGCCATCATACACTAAACGACTGAGGATCACACACTACCAGTCTTTAAAGTCGTTCCGTCTCGCTCAGAAATGTGTGCCTTGTTGCTAGGAGACGCGTGACAAATGAAAACGATATGTGTTCTAAAATCGGCTTGAAATATCAAACATGTTTGATGTTCTCCGACTGGATGGAAGAGACCAGGACCATCATACACTACATGATTTTCTATGGAATCTGTCGACTCAAATCTGCAGACTGGCTCTGACTTTCTGCAACTAGTGTCAACTTGTCCAGACAAAAATCTGTGCTAAAGTCATGTAGTGTACAGTAGTCAACATTTGAAGAGGATCAAAAAAGTTCATCAAAGT